TTTAAATGTAAGTGAGAATTCATTTTTGGAAAGTTGGGAAAAGAATTTAAGTATGGTTTGTGAAATAAGAGGAATTTCAAGATAAGCTGCAGTATATGATTTTCAAATCCACCTCAGGAGTACCCCCTAGTTGCTTGTGGAAACGAATTTGTCATTTATGACACTGCCCCATGAGTTTCGGGGACTCCTGAACCGTATGGTGCGAGGATGTGCGTTCTCGGGCTGACTACATATCCCCCGAGTTCTGCGAGGAATGCGGCTCAGGTTGACTAAGGGTCCCCTGAGGCTTGCGAGGAATGCGGCTCAAGTGACTTTGTGTTTTCGAGGCCTGCGAGGATGTAACAGACGGAATATTATTGGAATTGACGGAATATTATCGGAATTGACAGTATATTAAAGGTATTGATGGAATATGAATGGGGGTACGCCTAGATGGAGAGCATAGAGTTTTCTAAGTTTTAAGGATTTGATATAGTTCACAATTATTTTCTTAAGCGATGAGTTTATTTTTACATGCAAAAGAGGAAAACATATTTTATCTAAATTATTGATATTGACATTAAGATTTCAAGTGTTCAATACTATTTAATAATTTTCTCGTTTCCCTACTTATCTGTAATAAATTATATATATATAAATATTGGTATACGAGTCTTATATGAGTTTCAATGGAAAGGTTAAAAGTGCCTTTGGGAGCTTGTTTGATTTATATATACGTATAGATAAAATAAAATACGCAAGTGTATATAAACTGATTTATGGATTAGAGGAAACTCCTTGAGTAGCCTACTCACGTGCAAATATGAACTGTTTTTGAGAATTGGGGAAGTTGGAAAATATTGCTTTAGAGTTTATGAATATTTTAGAGTATATCACTGACATGAGAACTTGGATTGATTTGCAATCATAGCGAAATATAACAATTGCAAAAGAACTACGTGTGGCTTGATCTCTTGTTAAGGGTACATAGGCAACCTAGAGTTAACAGGTGCAGCCGTGAGACTAAGTGATTGAAAAGTTGCTCTGCTAAGCTATTTTGAATTTTGTTACCGTACTCTTGATGTTCTAAAAGTCGAGATCAGCTTAGATGACAGAACGATTTATTCGGGTTAAAGAGGCCTGAGGCCAAAATGATGTGATGTTTGGTTGCATGAATGATATTATTGTGCCTGCTGAACGTTTGGGATTATAAAAATCATGTTTTATACTGGTAAATTTTTTGGGAAATGAGCGAATTCCAGGGGGACTCTGCCAAATTTTCAGCAGGAGTCAAACTTGAAGAAAAGAATTTTGGGAAACTTAGAAGGGCATTTTGGTCAAAAGTGCCCGGCACTTACCAAGTGTCGGACACGCACAGGGTTCAGCTCAGATTCAAGTGGAATTTGGGTCGAGTCCTGTCAATTAGGTTACCTAACTCATGACTCTGATGCCCCAGATTCCATAGATCCACAATTTGGAAAGTGGAAAATTGATGACTCTACCGTGAAAAGTTGGATGATGCGCACTATAGAACCTAGTTCGTTGAATATGTTTCATACTTACCTACTATCGTGTCCACAAGGTTTCTGTGTTCTGCCTTATCTACTCTCATGCTCACAAGGTTTCTGTGTTCTGCTTTACCTATTGTCTTGCTCACAGGGTTTCTGTGTTCTGCTTTACTTACTGTCGTGCTCACAGGGTTTCTGTGTTCTACTTTTATGTGTTCTTCTATGTGCCCTGTTTGTTATGGTTTGTCAGTTGTTTCACTCTTGGTTTATGACAAGGCCTTCTCTACAGTTGTTCAATTGGTCAATGTTGAGTATGGTATTCTACGACTCGCTTGTCAAGTTGGGCATGCGAAGTAATAGAATATTTAATCTCCAATATATATGTATATCTGAACCTAAACTAGGTGAACCAAGAAAGCAACTAATATTATTTATATATATATATATATATATATAATTACTATAATTTAATACTTACTAAAGTAATAAAATGTTTAACCTTCTTAAATAACCTTTAAGAATACAGATTCTCACATATTGATAAATGGTTATTATTAGTTTCAACCTCGGTTTAAAGTAAGATCTTGGTATTTGCTGGTGAACTTGAATATGTTTTCATTTGACAGCTTTGATGCATGGTTTTAATCAAGTTTATGGATTTGGTTTTGATGTTTATGTTTTAGCTCAATTTTGGTACTTATCGCTTGGAAATGCTCATGAGATACTAATTGAACTGTGAAGTTTCTTTATATGCTTTTACACTTTTGAGTTGAATATTGAGAAAAGATTTGGAAGGTATTGCTTATGAGTTTATAAACGGATTAAGTTTGTTTGAGTTTGGATTAATGGGATTTGAGGATATGGATTTGAGTTAAAGTTTTGGGAAAATGGTTTTCAAACCCACTTAAGTACCCATTTCCAGTTGTCTTCGGATTATGGTTATATTACCCAATTGCCTTTGGTGGCCTGTCAAATTACAACTTGCCTTCGGATATAGTTAGATTACCCATTTGCCCTGTGTGAGACGTCTATGCGTGTAAGATTAGTATTGTGTACAGGTGTCTGGCCAGGATTTTTCCTGTACTTGCATTCATATTACTATATAGGTATCCTACCAGTGTTTTCGTGTACCTGTATTGTGTATACATGTGTCCGCCCAAGATTTTCCCCAGCCAACCTGCTTGAATTTGTTTGCACAGGTGCTTAGCCATTTTTCCCCTTTCCCGGTTGTCTTCGGATATTTTGCCTGAACTTATATTGAGTATACAAGTATCCGACCATGATTCTTCCCATGCCACCCGGTTCGTTTTGTAATTGATTTGAGTTTCACTTAATTTCTTGTTTCCATTGTTCATCACTTGATTTTTGGGTTTTACTTTCTAATTTTAATTCTTCCGTATCGATTTGATCCGAAAAGTTTGGTTTGGTTAACAGTTAACGATATCTCATACCGCGAAAATTCGTACCCAATTGATCAATAAAAATAAATTATTATTTAAATATAAATACACGTAACATGACACCATAAAACATCTTTAGATAATTATAAAGATGTAGTACTAAACCAAAAATAGGAAATAGCAATGTAGGATACTGGAAACACAAACAGACCCTACCAATTAACATGTCTCAACTTATTCTTCCTAAGCCACCAAGAGGAAAACAAGATAATAAGGGCTCGTTTGGGACTGCTTTTTTAGGAAGCACTTCTGCTCATAAGCGCTTCTAACAAAAGCCTTTTTTGTTATAAAGTTGTTGAAAATTTCATAAAAAATCGAAATGCTTCCTGAAAAAGCACTTAGAAGTGCTTCATGAAGAAGCACATGACAGGTGCTTCTCCAGAAAGCACTTCTAAACTTTTCTGTCAAATGCCATTAGAAGTGCTTTCGATTGTCAAAAAGCGCTTTTAGCCCTCCCAGAAGCACTCCCAAACGAGCCCAAAGCTACTTTTTTTATTTTTTGTTTTTAAATGCAGGGCTCACTATATGTGTAGATACAAAACTCTCACATCGGTTTTTTAAGGAAACATTCACTTTTTCATCCTCTATAATAGCTTCATCCTACCATATTGTTCTACAAGCTTGAATGAGTAGTTTTTTCGTGGGCTTGAGTTGAAGTTTTTCAACTAGCATTAGTAATAAATATTTTTTTTTATTCTCAAGAGGTTTTTGTTAAATGGTACTACCTGTCAAGGTTTAAAATATTGATAGTCCAAAAACACGGAAATTTCGATAGAAATATTTGGATATTATCGATATCAATAAAAAATTAAATAAAAACCATAGAAATTATAAGAAAAACTTGGAATTTTTTATTGAAACTTTGGAGGATGTTTATTTAGGCAATTATCTATTAGTTTATTACAAAAAATTGGAAGGAAATACATTGCATGATGGGTTTAACTTATTTAAGTTGATTATATAGCGAGCTGACACACATTGTGAGTGTAGAAAATATGTAATAATTAATGAAAAAAGATTAAACACACCATAATCATTTATATATAATGATTTACTACAATGTTTTACACTTTATACATTGCATGGTAAAATACATGAGTCACTTAGTACCACATAGAGTTCCCCTTTGCATATTATCACAAAAACATAAGCACCATGGTGGTTAAGGCGTTGGAGGAGTGAAATAGCAGGGGTTCGAATCCCATTTGCATGTGCTTTGTGTTTTTTTTTTCTTTCCTTTTTTCCATTACATCGATATTTTCGATATTATAATGATACTATAGTGATATTTTGACAAAATATTACTGAAGTGTAAGCAAAATTATCGACATCAATATTTTCCGATATTATCGATACTTATACGACATGTATATGGATACGTTCCGAAATATTCTTGACTCGAAAAAATGATAATATCCTCGATATTTCGTTGATATTATCAATATTTTAAATATGCTACCAGCCTACCGAACTAACTTAATTCGAACTTATGGTTAACCAACTGAATTGTTAAAAGGCTTAATGGTTGGTTAAAGAAAGAGAAATTAGTCTAATTTGTATCCTGCTAGTTTTGATACGATTAACGAAAAAGCTCTCTACCGTTCCAAGTTTCATGCATCCATAATCTACTTACCAGAAAAAAAACAAAACAAAACAAAACAAAAAAAAAAAAAAAAACTTGAATATATCACAGGCGGCCAATGCGGCAGTAGCTGCACTACAGTAGAATGTGGACTCGAAAACCGATGTGTCCTTGTTCCTGCACCCGTACACTAACTTGTAACCGTTTGGGGCCCAAGCTTCGTGGACCCACCGTCTTACATTACGCATCCCCAACCCAATCAGCAGTTTCCATACGAATACTGACGCGTAACCTGCAATGACGAAAATACCACCCTCATCTCCCAACCCAACTAATCAACCCCCGGGTACACCAGAAATCCTATGGATCCGGCTGCACACAATTAATCTACCTCCTCACGACCCCACAGCTCCTGAGATATTTTCTGCTCTCTCCACGACACGAACCAAAAAAATCATTATTTTTATGTATAAAAATTTACAACGCTTGCTTTCGCTCCTTCTGGTTTCTTCCGGATTCGAGTTCTTCCTGATAAACCAGATCGTCGTCTTCTCCTTAATTTGAATTGAGGTTTTTGATTATTCACTCTTCGTTCTCGCTACTGCGATGTCTCAGAGAGCAGCAAATGAAATTTCCGTGGCTTCGTTTCCACGCTCACAGGTACCGAAGACGATGAACGACCACACTTCTATACACCTATACATACATACATACATATATATGTATATATATATACATATAAATACATTTAGTTATATAAGGGGCATTGCTTATCTGAATATGGTATGGTGCTGTTTCTGTATATACTGAAAGTATTTCCTCTGGTTTGGTGATCGTTTTGCAAAATTTATATATTTCTTTTCTTTTTTGTTGATTGACAGTAGAGTTTCTGGCTGGGATGAGTATTTGGCGTTAATGGTTTTTGTTCGATCAGTGAGGTTGATGGGCTGCATTGGATTATAATTAGTATGACAGGTAATGAATTACTGCTAAGCACTAATACGTTTAATTGGCTGCCAATAAACTATTATGTTGCCCATAGGTTACTTTATTATGCATTTGATTGATATTTATTTGGAGGATTATAATGTTTTTGGGTCGTAATTTTCGGTAGAGTAAAGGTTGTATGTATATTTGTATTTGTATGTATGCTAATGTTATGTTGCTAGACTAAGATAGTGACCACCAATGATCACACATTCAGATGATAATCAATGACTATGTAATAATGGGCTAGTTAAGTGGTTAAGTAAGAGCATCTATAGACAGTTAAGATGCAACCAACTGACCTCGCATCTCTGGCATCGGTACTAGCTAGTCCAGAATAGAGGTGCTATTGTTTGGACTTATCATATCTTCTTCCAAGGGACATATAGATAGGTATGGAGCTTCTAAGTTTTAGATTGCCCATAAAATTTCAACTTTAGAAGTTGGCCATGATTTAAATTTTGATAAAACATATTAATGTGTTGATTATAATGATGAGCCACTGGATTTCTTGTGGGTTTGTGTTATTTTAAAACATATGTTCCATTGGAAAGGATACGCTAAACCTTCAATTAGTGGATTATATTAATATTTACTGTGTAATACAGTATAATTTATCTTCACAGAGGGAGAGGCGAGGGATGGCGTTTTGATTTGAATGTAACTTTTTTATGGATGTACTGTCCATGGTTGTTGTGGTTTCTTTCTTTATTTGTAATATAGGAGTTTGCGTATCTTACAGAAAATATTTGGAAGTATTAGTTTATGCCTACCAAATCCCCAGGGAAAAGGTGAAAAAGAAAGCACATTGTGGTGTTGCCTAGTAAAATGTCTATGCGCAATTAATCTCTGTGAAGAATTTAGGATCATTGGTATGTGTTGCATCTACCTATTGAAAATTATGTTTCTGGATTAATAGATTGGATGACAGATTGTCCAGGCTCTGGTATCAAATTACTCACCAACATCTGCACTTAGTTAAGGCAATAACTCATCCTTGTGTGTTCAGTGTATCAAATGTAGAAGTAATAATGTGATGTTGCACTTTTTATGTAAGAATATGATCATAGATCTTGCTTTACATAAGTATACATGTATAAGTAAAGCAAATTATGAATTCACTAATATGACCCTTTACATTTATATACATGTGTGTGTATATGTATGCATATGCATACCTGATTAGCATATTAGTTACAATTTCTCAAATGCATAAGTATGGACTAAGTTTCGAAGAAGGGTGTTTAGAAGTAATGACCATTGTCAGTGGTTAATTTCCTTAGAGAATATGTTCAGGCATAGCATGTAAAGTGAATTTAAAGAAGGAATGCAGCCATCCCAACTGGGAGATTTTGATGGAAATGCTTATTCATTTTTCAAAAGAAATGGAGGGACTGGAAATTGGTTTGCATCGGTTCTTAAATCTAAAAGATTTATCAAGGAACAACAATGATGAATACCATACATTATCATTCATAAAAAGAAATACTATACATTAACAATACATAACAAGATGATTTACCCAGGGAATATATTTTTCTAAGAGGAAATTGTGGCTATTGTCCCTCAACTATTACCCGATTCTCATTTTGGTCTCTCAATTAAGCTTTTGAATTCTTAAGTCTTCTGGCATTTGCTTGGGTCACTTTGGTCCTTAAATCAAAGTCCGTTTGCTTTGCTTTCAAAATTTCGGGGTAAAATTTGTCCACCCACATTGTATATAATTTCTTAATTTCTCACCTCTCATTTTGTTCTCCTATTTGATTCCAAATTGAAGTTGTAATTCACTTCATCCCAAATTGAAACTTCAACTTCAATTTTGGATAAAATAGAAGAAAATTGGAGGGTGAAAGGTTGGGTAACTATATATATGGTGGGAGGAGACATTTTAGCCCTTTAAAATGACAAAAACTAACAGACTTTTACAGAAGGGCCAAAGTGATACAGTGTTAAACGTTTGAGGACTATAAAGTTCAAAAACTGAATTGAATGACCAAAGTGAAAACCGGGTAATAGTTCAAGGACTATAGGTACAATTTACCCCTTGTTCTAATGTTAGTCATTATGAAGCTTTTTTATCCCAACAAATTTATGAGATTCTATTACTTTGAGGAGGCAAATCATGAATTTGAGTAGAAAGGGTTTGCGGATTTGAAAATATTAAAATAGTTTCTTTTACCTTAAGTTTAGTCCCTTGCATTAATCACATTCTGATTCAGGTAGTCTGTTATGCTTGTCAATTTGCTTTATTTGCCTCTTTATTTTTTTTGGGTTTACAAGTTTTCCTCGTTTTAGAGATTTCTAAATATATCTTTATGATCATGTGTCATATGGCTCTACATGTCTTTAAATTTATCTCAAGTTGAGGGAAATCACTATTTTATCGTAGTACTAAGTGTTTTGAAGGGTATATTGGAGTTAACAGAGGTTTTGTCATTCCTTTTAGTGTAGTTCATCTGGATTAGAGTTGTTTTTATTTGAGAGCATATATTGGATATGTACTTCTCGTCCATCCTTCTTGTATTTTTCTTCCATTTTTGTTAAGAAAGCTGGGATTCTCATAAAAAAGTATGAATGACTATGCTATGACTTATTGGGGTATATTTGGAATTTTCAAGCAATTTAATAGAAGTGTGGAATGCACTAGTCTTTGCGAGTGTTGGGTTCAAATGAGTGTATATGGTAGAAATTTAGTGCTACAACATTGATTAAAGTTTCAGCACAGTTGAGAATCTTGGGTTAGCTTATAGTAGATGTTTGTGCACTGTTTGTTTGGTTTTTAAAATTAGAATCAGTGGTTGTGGCTGATTTGAGAGGGTGTTTATAAGACCACAATGTAAGCATATAAAACCCCCTCTTTGATATTTAGGATAACAAATGGCTGCTTAACTGACCATCGAGCATTTTGTCAAAAAAGAAAAAAACGAAAAGACCATAAAGCATTGCCTTTTTGAATCAGAACTGTACTTGCTAAGCTAAGTCAATTTTACCAGCATATGTCGAACAATTACTAGCTCGTTTTCTGATGCTTGCTGCTGTTGTTTTTTCATTGCAACTTTTAGTCATTCACACACGACAGACTGGTTGCAGCGAGGGGTATTCCTCTTTGAAATCCTGGGCCTCCAAAAAAGTGAATCTTAGTAGTAGCAATAAATCTTGAGAAGAGCATTTTTACCGTTTAAAGTATTAGCATGATTGCCTTCTAAGTCATTAAATATGCACTGATTATTTACAAGTAATAGTTGAAGATTTTCTAGTAAAAAATCTCATTAAAACTTTTGGTAGTCCTGTTTTAGATCCTTTACTAGTATAGTGACGAATACTAGGAATGGTTTTATTGTGGAAAAATTCATTGAGCCAACAAACTACTATTTGGAGATTTGCTTTCTGGAATGAAAGCAAATATAGCAGCTTTCACGAAAGCAGTGAATTATCCTATTTGTTAGCTACGGTACCTGATACTGAACATATTGCTGCAGGAGATAGGAATCTTCCATGATGTTTGGAATGTCCGTGAAAAGGTCTTTCCTCTTATCAATTTTCATTGCATATACACACAACGCACAATACATTGGGAGTTATGAGAGAGTGCATTATAGAAGCCTTCAGGCACTGTTAATGCATTTAAGATCTCACATCTACAGGATTCTGTTGGTTTTTTTTTTTCTTTTCCATTCTGTGCCTAATTAGTGATAATATAAATCAAAGTTAAATTTGTCTGCTACATGTGCTGGACATTGTGTCAACCAAACATGCCTACATGTGGTTTTTTGTACTATGTCTGTGTGCTCATCCTACAAAATGTGCATTTAGCCCACGCATTCTCATTGGGGTATCTCCTAATATGTACAGACCAATTTTGTGTAGTTTTGGGTGTTCAACTTCTCGGGGGTCCAAGAGCCAGAAATTCTGGCTTTCTGTCACCGCACTTTCGAATGTGCTAGAACAGAGAGGAAATCCTTTTGTCTTCTTCTCTCCATTTTTCAGAATGAATACAAAGTTTATATGAATGATCATCATTTACTGTTAATCTCACCAGATCTGTCTCTGTAATTAACTCAACTATATAATAATAATAATTTGTGAATAATTCTCACAAATCATTTTTAGAAAATATAGTTGGTATATCAGTGTGTCCTAGATACAAGAATGAAAGGAAAACTTAAATATTTTCTTCCTGTTTATAGATGCATGCTGCTTTCTCATCCGTTCTGCATGTTACTCTCTTAGTGTGAACCTGTGGTTTACTAGTTTCAGCAGATTGTTATCTGTACTTATCAAATCCTTTTAGTAGATGATCATCTGAAATAGTTAAAACAAATAATTGGGTTGTTAACTACTTATTGTTAATGAAAAATATTTGTTTTTTCCATACATATGTGAAATCATCAGCTAGAAGAAAAAATAAATAAAAAGATAGGGATAAGAGGGGCACATAAACTGTAACAAGCATGGCTGGTTCTTGAAAACAGAATTCTCGTTATATTCTTAAAAGTATCTTCCATGATATGATGCCGTGCTCCATATTTCTGATGTAACTATTTTTCCAACAGACTCTTCATTGAACTATTCATAATGCAACAAAGTTTTTGAGAGTTCTCCTGTTCGAGTTGTTGATTATTATTCAGGAAAATAAAATATGGTTACAACAATTGACAATTGTTCTCTGATTGATCACAACACATTTTTAATACAGATAAAAATACTTCTGAAACACAATGCTTTCCCCTTATTGCATAAATTTACACACCTAATTGGTTTGTCTATTTCTATCACAGAAATTCTAAAGTTTGTTTCACGGAACATTTCATACCAAAGCTGCTGGTACCTCTGCTGGATGCATTTACTGTAAGTATGACATCTCACTCCTAGAAGATTGCTTTTCATTGTGGTGCAAGTTGACTGCATAATGACAGATAGCCACCCACAGCTGTGAAACAACTTTGTGCTAATGCAGTTGTAATCTGTTGCAGAATTTGAAGATATTTTAATAGTTTAAATAAAATAGTAAGCTTTGCTTATTCTTTCATTTTTTGGGGCATAAGAATCAATATAGTATGCTATATTATACATTAGTGGGGAATACATATTGTTAGCATTTTTAGGACATACCCTAATTTGATTCCTTTTGCTGGTATTTCATTGTTCTGAGACCGAGGCTGAGTTTGATTCTGTGGCTGGCTTAGCTGCAGATGGATGGGTGTTTGCAAATCATATCCATTAGTGATGGTATATGGAGGTTGGGAACTTTTGTTTTCTTTATTCACACCCCTTGCTCCATAAACCTGAGATTAAAAACTTCTGTTTTAGCCTTTTCCAGAGAAGAAACCTTCACATTTGCTTATATTATAATTAACATAATGGCCTTATGTTTTTGGCTTAGGGATATCTCATTTAGCTCCTCTCTCTCTCTCTCCTCCCTTTAGTGAAGTATAATATGTGTTAAATAGAAGAGTAGAGCTTAAGGGATATATTTTATTAATATTATATAGTCTTTTAGACAATACCTTCTGTTGCAGTTCCGCATTCTCTTTACCTATGAGGTCTAGCTTCTTATACAGTTCCATATTCTCTTGATGTATGAGATTTCCCTGAAATAAAGTAAAAAGAAAGATATAAAATAGGTACAAATTAGGCCCCAAGAACATGAATTAAAATAAATGGACTAGGAGAAACTGAGCCAGTTTTCTTTGGTAACCTTCTGGTTCAGTTCTTTTATTTCATCATTTAATCTCTGGTCCTGCAGAAAAATGACTGAGTGTCATGCATGTGCTACATAAAGAAGGGATCATGACAGTATTAACTGAGACTGTATAATCAGGACTAGGGCGTACCTTTTTCATCCGGACACCTTTCAAACTTGTCTCCAGTTGGTTTTCCAGGTTCTGTAGATCTTTGGCACTCAAACCAGAAAGTTCTTCACCCATTAGCTGCCTGCAAGTTTATGCAGAAACATCCAGCCAATCTTTTATTTGATCTCCAATGACTAATTTCCAAGCCATAGATACAGATCTTCAATTTCGAAGTATTTTCTAATATGCTGTTTGACTGTTATGTGACTTAGGAGAAGTAAAAGATTAAATTCCCAATTACCATCCTAGGCAGTCTTATATGTGAAAAAAAGAAGATATTCTTAAATCCGTGTCTCTAGGATTCTGAAAGTGTAGAAAAGGAATGTTAGGATTTTTGAAGTAAAAATGTAGAAAGGGGGTAGATTTCTTGTGGGATAGAATGCATTATTGGGTGTCATTGTGGACTTTGGTTTCTAAAGAGTTTAGTGACATTTCATTTTTTCTTTTATGCAGATTGGGGGCCTGTATGTTAGTGATGAGTAAGTAGCTCAATGTTTGATATTTTTGTAGCTTGAATGGACTTCTTGTGCACTGCTAGTGTATTTCCTTAAGTAATGCTAATTGATTGTTCTGTTTCTTATAAAGAGGAAAAAAGAAAAACCTATTTTCTTTACCTCTTCTTCAATGTCAATAGGTTTTGTGGGCTTTATCTTTGATAGTTGGATGAAGCCTAAATTAGGATGATAACCTTTTGAATAAGCAACCTGATAGGCAATTTTATTATGCATTTCAACATTTTGGTACTTCCCATCAAATTGCTAAGCTATGTGGAAGATCATTATAGAGCAATGACTGTACCTGTGGCATTCTTGCAAGTACTGCAATTGTTGCCTCAAGCTTGCTGCCTCCCTTTGCCAAAACTAGCAAGTACAAAACCAAAAAGTATTTTTAGACGAGCATGAAATGAGTAGCAGAATGTAGTGCAAAATGTTAGACAATACAATATCCCACATCAGGAATTTGAAGCATGCACTAAAATTTAATATCTTGGCCATGTTCACTCATCCCTAATTGATTTTGGGTGGGTTGTTCTAACTTCTAACATTGTATCACAACAAAAAATTCATCCACGTTTTGGGCTCATTTTGGTTGCGTGTGCTTTATAAATTGACAGTTAACTTGAAATCAGGAAAGACATGGACTAAATAACTGTAAACTTGACAGTTAGGCGGATTGTAACTTTATTGTTGTGTATCACAACAAATACCCTTAAAATCAGGAATGAGATCAACTAGGGAGGAGTAGTTGATCCGATTCCAATTCCTTGATCTAAGTTCCTCGATTCATGGCTTCCCCCATTCCTGGTAAGTATGCGTGCCATAAAAGGAAATTGATTCCTAATAGCAAACAGTCCCTCACCTCTATAAAAAGGCTACTAGGCTAATGCCCCTATGTATGTGATTAAATATACTGAAACCCTGTTAGTTTCTTGTTAGCACAATTTCTTAAGTTGTACATCAGAGGGTCTTTAGCCTACACAAGTTGGTGTCACTCCTATTGTTTCTTTTACTCTTGCAGGGTTTTCTCGGCTACCCTACTCGGCCATTCCAAGTAAATGAAAAGATTCATTAAGTTCCTGTCCTGGAAGCTATGTTATTGTTGATCGGCATCAGCAATATATAATATTCTGAAAAACATCCATGACCAAGTAAGAGCCCCATCCACATATGAACTTCGTAACCGGGAAAGTGTGGTTACCCAACATCAATTACCAGTTACCACTTATGTTCACATCTTCACAATGAATCCTAGCTCACAACTAGTTGTCACTCAACGAGGGGTCATGTGGGGAAACTAAAGAATCCAAACTAACTGTGGTCTCAGGATCCCATGGTACACTCTTGTCCGTGAATAGCTATCCTAATTGAATTATAGACTCTGATACCATTGGTTGATCGCTGAAAGTTTGTAATGACTTATGCCCGTGTCAAACTCATAAGCAGAGAAACCTTGACAACATGATCTGGACACCACTTGATCGCTGAAAGTTTGTAATGATCTATTGGTCCTGAGCCGAACCATATGTATCAATTCCTGAATTGGATTTCCTAACTGCCTGGAACTTACACTGTTGGGTGTGGATTTGAGCATATCTTTTAGTTGCTATCAACTTGCCCTGTAACTAATTTAAGTTTAAATATTTTTAGTAATTTTCTGAATCAGTTTTTATAATTGTACCAAGTACCAAGTTTAAGTTTTTCAGTTACCTATTGTTCTTTGGTTCTCACAGTGGAGGTTTCTTAACAGTATTGTAACTTCTGGTTGGTCTTGAATTGTGGTTGTGGACGGATATATGGGATACTTCAAACCATGCTTTGGTTTTTGTTTTGATGTTTTAGTTGGGTCTAATTAGGGATCACCTTGTCCCTATGTTGTTATTTTCTTTCCTATTCAATGAATACCTTGTTTCCTATCAAGAAACAATTGCTATATTTCATCATCATAGTTGAAATGATGACATTCGGAGTACTCAATGAACAAACTTTTAATTGACACAGCATGCTGATGCATCTGCAGATATGTAGACATGTGATGCCTTCTCAAGTTCAAGGTCTGACTATAAATGATGATTTTTGAATGAGCAATGGTATAGAGAGTTAGACGCTCACTATATTACGTACTGAATGGGGGTTTGGATATCTAACAGCAGATCATGGAATATTGAATTAAAGAAAAGAGCTGTTGGTGACTGGTCACCGTTTAATTGATTTAATGGAAAGTGGAAGTTGGGGAGAACAAGTATCTGTGGACCGTGGAGGACCTGCAGAATGGCATCAAGAATAACCTTGTAATTGAACATGGTTACTGGTTGAGGGAACATTTGGTTTATGCCTACAATGTTACGTTACTTTAGTTTAGATTCAGTTGTATAGAATATTTTTGCAGGGAAACCTAGGAGGCTAAGCTTTTTTAGATGCATGTTAATGTAAGTGCATGAGCCTACAGTTACACAGAAATTGTGTGAAGGAAGCTTAAAACTAGGCAAGTAGCTTGTAAGACATTGCATTTAGTTGTTCAGCAGCTGACTTGAACAACAATTAACAGAATAGCACTTGAATGTAAGCAGAAAGTAGGAAGAGTGGTGTTTCTTTTAGCTTAATGATGGCAGAAAACAGATAAAGTATTTGGGGTTCGTCCCTTCGCATATAGAAAGGATTGCAATTGATTTCTAATGAGCCATTTGGATAAGCTTCATGACTAGTTGAGGAATTGTATCTCATCAGTTTCTCGTAAATTATAGGAGGCTTCAGGCATAGGTTTTGTTGAGTTATTTGGTTGGGTGGGTGCACACTTGCAGGATTCAAATTGTTGTAAAGATTATGATGTCATTGATATACTCTGCCTAACTAGTGACAAAGTGATAGTTATTAGGGATATCTTGTCTTTGTTTGGCTGTGAAGAATTGTGTCATCTACGTCCATGTGAATTCTCATTGAAAAGCTCTGTAATCTGGTCATAGATGTTCCCTATCAGCTCCTAGAGGAAGAACCAAGTATAAAATAAGGATCTTATTGACCTTTGTTAATGTACTCTAACTGCTGGCCTAACATTGCATCAGAAAATGTTCTGTCCCATTGAGTAAGTTGTACTTATTCTGACTCTTCTCTGTTTTCTTGTGATACTTGGATTTGATGGGCATTTCATTCATCCTACTTGTATCATTTCTAATATAGATTTGTTGCGTATATTTGAAAATAAAAAAAGTAAGCAAGAGCAAGTGCAAATAAGACTCGTAGGTCATCAATTATAGATGATATGCTTAGAGATAAAAAAAAATTCTTTTCTTTTACCCACTCATTATAAAAAAATTTGTATCTTCCTTATGTTACGTACACATGTGCATGATCGCATGCCTGCAAACACACACACAAATGTGCACATGCAAAGATTGGAGTAATTCTTCAAAATTCTCTAGCTTATGGCCATGACTTGAAATTAAATTTACATGCATGTGTGCACAATATGAATTGTTTTGGGCGCCATTCAGGTGCATCTCGTATTTCTAGCTATGGCCTCTTATATTTAGCACGTGAATGTTTTTAATTTATTGTTTGATCTCACATGTACATCTTCTGCGGGCCCTAATGGTGACTACTGTTTGGTTAGAGTTGTTAAGAGCAGGTGACTGTATCATTCTACTGATGGAACAGCAAGAACGCTAACCAATGGCTCACTCCTAGCTGAAATTCAAGGATGTTACCTGCCACGCATGGAGCAATTGATAACAACATTTCACTGTTTGGTAAGTTTTTCAGAAGTGCCACAATGTTGTTTAGTAAATTCCAATTACTCACTCTCTTTGCTGAAATCTAATAGCTCTCACCTTTTTCTCTTCATTTTAATCCCTGAATATTCATGACATACGGAAATCGCTTGCCCACGTCATGTCTGTCACCATTTGGTTCCAGCATAAAAAGATTTTTCATTCTTCACTTGTTTCTTCAATTTGGTTGCGCATCACTTAAGAAATTCTCTTGGGAGGTGTTGCTTTACATTTCCAGAATCCATATGTTGGCCACAACTGGAAATTATGCCTTCCACTGTACTGCAGTTCTAGCCTAAAGTTTCTCGTTGGATCAATATATGAACTTCTTTCTTGTTGTTTCAGAATTCTGACTCCCGGAAACCTTTGGTTAATAAAATTTCAGGCTGGTAGTACTGTACTATCTATCATCTTAGGAATAAAAGGCCCTCCAATTGGAATTAAGTTGGAATAGTCTGGAATTGCTTGTTATTCCAGACAAACGAACTATTATTCAATGGAATTATGCTGAAGCTTGTGCTTGGAATTCATGGTGCCATCAAAGCTTCAGCACCAACATACTTTCTCTTAAACGTTTGTTCTTTTCTTCTGCAAATGCAAACAAATAGGCATTAGCTCAAGTTGTTGCCTTATTGCAAATGGAATATTGTACAGAAGATCAGTTTACGCTGCTCTTGGTGTAGCATCTACATTTTCCCTTTATCTACTATCCCTAGAAGACCGGCTTCATCTTTAACTTCACGCGTTCATGTTTGTATTGATTCCACCATGACCTCATACTGGTGCATGTTTGACCTAGAGCAAGACTGTTAAATGGTTCAGGTACTGAGGCTATTTTAGATAAAGATTGAACCTTGTCATTCTGGCTACGTTCTTTTGAAGAGTGGTTGAGATATGGATAACTCTTCTGATAAGGAAAAAAATGTAGGCTTGATCGCTAAGGCATTTTTTAAGTAGAAAACCCCTTGAATTATTACCAGTACCAAATTTTTGCTTCTGATGGAAGTTTAGAATTGCAATTTCAACATAGTGCTGTAATTGCTGCCATTTTCTAGAACTTCAATTAAGCTTGAACAAGTTGTTTGAAACTCCTTCATTTACTTTGAACTTAAATTATGCAAACTAGATGAGAAAGAAGCTTTGTCAAAGCGGTCTATTGATCTCGATATCATTAGGTAAACTTATCTCCCTCTACACCTCTTCTGCACAAAGCTTTTTGAACTACTTTCATATGAGGTTTCTCACTGCGCAACAAGGCTACCAACATCTTCGAAAGATTGTGTCCAACAGGATTGGGTGCTAGGTTCTATAAAAAGAGTGAAAGAAAATTGGTATTGGGTCTCAGATGTTACATTTGGCATAAAATTAGTAGTGAGTTTTCATATAAGAATGCAAGAATGGAGAAAAGATTATGATTTTCAATAAACTGAAGTTCATGAATTGTCTCCTGGATTGAATTTGAACTCAACATCCCACTCTGCTCAAAAGATTACCATTTGACTTCCGTTGTTCATCACTAGGTAGGGCATTCCAGATTGCACTGGTCTTTTGTTGATGCAATTTACTAAGGTGGTAGTTGGCCAGATGGAATTCTTGGATACTACAACCCTATCTTAATCACACCACCAGAAAATAGCTGACAAATAGGTTCAAAAAACACAGAGATGAACACTTTATATATTGTTCCTTTATTTGAAAGCATTGCATGTGTCACTACTTTTTCATTTTCCCTCCCCGTTGCATTGTAGTGTGGGAGCATGACAATCCAAGTTCAAATAACACTTTCTAGATCTCCACTTCTTTTTGCTATTTTAACCTCTATATCAGAACCTAACTGCAAAGACAGCGTCATGAAATCAGATTGGACTATGATTTTAATGTTCCAAGTATCTTAACCAAACACAAGGTTTTGATTATTTGCAAACTTGTTCAGAAGATGCAGTTGTAAGTGTACTAACACTTTACTTCACCTGATTCTGTCAAAAGGACAAGATCAACTCGGTAAATCCCTTCTCTTCCATGTTCCTTTTCCTACCTGGGATTCACAGTTGATTATAGTCGCATTGCAATAGCATGCACCTGTCTTTTCGCTTTGCTGTTCACTTGCTTCGCAGCGCTTTTTGAATCCTGAATGACCTTACAGTGTCTTTTCTATCCTGAATGACCTTGTACATCCACCGCTCTTCCAACCCGAGTTTTTTCACTTTTTGATATATAATTGTGTTCAGGCTTTTAATTTTACGTATTTTAGACCTTTGGAAGGTGGTGCACTTGTTTGATTTCTCCTGCAACTTTAATGGTTTTTGTAATAGATTTCTCCTGCACTTGTTTATTGATTTATTTATTTATGATTTTTGTAATGTTTTAAAGTTTGTGCATTCGTCTCTCAGAAACTTGCAATAGAAATTTTTAGTAACGTGTGATCCTACTTCCATAATGTTAATTCATTTGAAAATTCAGCATTTCAAACTATCTAAAACTAATCCTCTTAGGTTTTTTTTTTTCCAGAAAATTTAATTCTTGACTAAGAAATACCACCTGCTCTTGGAGAATCGGCTTCAGCCGTTCCTATGTTTAGTTTTCCATAATCTCTCTATAAAGTACTTAATGCAACATTGTTGAAGAGGTTTATGTTTGCTACTATAAATAGGCAAAACTATAATTAAAGAACTGATGTGATTGCACAGCCCAGCATAAAAAATTTATCTACTCTGAAAGTAATGGTATCCACTTTTGATGAAGCGAAAGCATAACGTGGGTATTATGCCTCTATTTATGCAGGTTCTCAACAGACCAAAATTGGAGTATTTGTTGGTTAGCGATATTTACCTTGACTTCTGAAGCAGGATTCAACAGGTGATGATGTTCCTCCTTCAGTTTGTTAAAACGATCGATTACTGATTTCATGCTGATAAGAAGAGCCATGGCATTATGGTCAGTTGATGCAATGATCACATACTTCGCGAAAATTTCTTAGGTTATGAAAATGCAGATCATAGTTAATGTAATGAAATTAAACAAACACATCCTATCAATATACATTAAATTTGATAGTAATGATTTCTACTCTATTTCTCAGTTGGATTTGTGTTATAGTAGTGATTGTAATACTGATACAAATACACGACAGAGATGTAGACGGTAAATACTACCGAGTTTTTTGTAAAAAAAAAATAAAAATTGTTGATTTGATCTCTGATTAATTTTGCAACTAAACTACAATTGACGGACAATGCGAAAGGCAGAAAACAAATGCAAGAAAGTGCTATTTATTTCTACTAGCTACCGAAAAAAGTGCAATTGGTTTGTACCCTCATCCATTAAGAACAATGGTAAACTTAAAACATAGAAACTTCTGCATTCTTATATATTGGACTAAAATATGAGACAATCCCTCCCTATAATCTTTGTTGCCATTTCAATTTGAATTCAACAATTTCATGAAGAATTCAGTGCTAATACTTCCTCATGCTTGAAGGATAATATCTATTGGCCCCTATTGGCATTCTCTTTTATGCTGATTTTATCCTTTTTGTTTTTACAGGTTTATAAGCTACTTGGCCTCCAATGTGATCTTTCTACCGGTGCATGGTTCCGCCCTGCAACAGCCAAATTCATAAATTTCTTCCCATCCCCTTTCCCCCCCGGATGTTTTAGGTTGTCTGAGGCTGAAGATTTTAGAAATCCCTTAAATATTACAAAATGTTTACAAAATGTCGGGTTAGGGTTGAATAGTACTTAATCAGCACGAACACAATGACACGTCTTGGTATTTATCCTCTAGTTTCAATACCGTACTAACTCTCTTCCATAGTTTCTTAGCAAATGCTTAAGCCTCAACAAGTCTTTCCATAGTTTCTAGCTAGCCTTTGATAACATGAAGAAAGTCAAAGAAAGTTGAGGAAAACCAATTGGCAATGTAAGAATCGTACAACTCCTTATAAGCTCATATTATTAAGTCACTTAGCTTTTCAAGATGAGACAAATACTCTCAACACATAAATGGCTTCTTCAAATTCCATTTGATCCAACCGACATTCACAAGAAAGTATATCAGAGGTCTATATATAATTAGAGATCAAGAGCTTGGTCAGTCGCCTCACACGGGCTGCAATATCCATCAAGGTTGGTGTGGCAATGTCCAACCGCCCGACGGCGAAGACACAATACTCTCAACACATAAATGGCTTCTTCAAGTTCCATTTGACCCGGCAGACATTCACAAGAAAGGATCAGAGGTCTATATATAATTAGAGATCAAGAGCTTGGTCAGTCGGCTCACACGGGCTGCATCCATCAAGGTTGGTGGCAATGTCCAACCGCCCGACCGCGAAGACACAATACTCTCATAGCATGACAAACTCAACACCTAGCCCAAGGATAACGTTTCTGTCGGCCTATGTAATGACAGAAAACCTGGAAAGAAATACGACGTAGGTACCAAAATAGCCATGTATAATTCTTAAGATCAAGTTGCATAGGTTTTTTTTTTTGGTTGGTGAAAAAGAAAATGGGCTTTTCCTCAAAGTATGCAGTTGGATTTATGAAATGCATGCAACCTTCCTTCTACTCATTTCCAATAACCAAAGCCTACAATACATTTGACTCCTAAAAAATCCACTTCCCGTTCAACATTACTCCAGTTTCTGCAGAATTAAGACTCTAACCCTTGAGGGAGGAGACGACCAACAAACTAGCTATGGAAACATTATGTAACAACCCTATAGGTCTCTTTCCAAAATTATCAGCTCCGGTTGGCATTTGAACTCCTAGGCCTTTCTAAGTACCCTAGGTCTCTCCAATGCATAGCCCAACTGGGATTTAGGAGAATCATAATCTCCTATTCTTCATGCCCTTAATAACTTCACCAAGGGGATTCACACTTATCACATATATACCAGTTGGGTAGCCTTTTTTTGATCTGGAACACAAAGCCAGGCACTCCACATCACACAAAGGGGGGAAAACGCATAAATCCGAGTTTTTACATGCTCTAAAGTGCTAGCCCTAGCCCTAGCTTCATAAATAAATAAATAAGTGCTAGCCCTAGTTAACATTTAGGGTTCTGAGGTCATACTGAATTATTACTTGAGATCTCCACAAGACATAACTGATGTGGGACTCAGTCCCTCTACTTTAACGTATGATAAAACAGTTTTGCTTATAAAGCCTAGAGGAAAGATAGGTTTTATAATGTGAGACAAAAAGCCATTTGCTTCAGAACTTCCAACAATGTATCTAGTGACAAATCCAAATTTTCCAATGGCTTATTTATGTACATGCCTCTTGTGCTTTCAAAGTTGTCTCAGATTACTACATGTGCTTTGAAACGTCTTAAAATACCCCATACACTTTTAAAAACTGTCTCACGTTACCTGTTTCGTCAGTATTAAGAGACGTTCCGTTACATGGTGTGGGCCCCACTTTTTTTCAATCGCTTAACAATGAAGAGTAAGGGTTATTCAGTTTTAGAAAAGGGGAAAGTGGGTGAGAAGGGGAAATTGGGAGAAGAAGGCTAGGGTTTATGAAAATCTTAGGTGGGTTCGATTTTGGGAAAGGGGGAACCTTGGATAGGGGTCCCTACACGCTCAAGTATCGCGGTAGCATGTGGTGGGTTGGCGAATTTCCAGTTCTTGATTTTGTCTTTGTGGGAATAATGGTTTTCTTGCCTTGAGTTTTTATGAAAGTTTATGAGTTTGTAAAAGTTGGTAACTTGGGTTTTCCATTTTCAAAAAGAAGCATGCTTTTATTTTTTGATATGTTTTTGTTTAGATGCAATGTTTACATATAACAGATCTAGAAGAAGGGTATTAAAAAGTTAGGTTTAAAAAATGTTGAAAATCTGTTAATATAATTAGGAAATGTGAAGCAATCAGTGGGTTCAGGATTGAAAATTTTCTGCAATTTGGAAAGGTTTTGATTGCTTGTTGTTTTGGGCTTTTTCACTAGCCTTCTTCTCCCAATTTCCCCTTCTCACCCAATTTCCCCTTTTCTGACTCTGAATAACCCTTACTCTCCATTGTTGAGCGATTTAAAAGAAGTGGGGCCCATACCACCTAACAGAACGTCTCTTAATACTGACGGAACAGGTAACGTGAGACGGTTTTTAAAAGTGTAGGCAGTATTTTCAGACGTTTCAAAGCACATATGGTGATCTGAGACAACTTTAAAAGCACAGGGGGCATGTACATAAATAAGCCTTTTCTCATAGCACATGTGGACACCATGCTCTTTCTTACTAGTAGAGAAAGTCTTCAAAAAAATTTCCCTTGATCAGTCTCACAAGACAATGGCTAGCTTGTATACTATCTGCAACGACCTATGCTGCGAATTGATACATCAGTATCTGGAACAGATGACATAGATGATTGAGTTGCAGCTTGACCGACATAAGCCAAGAAAAAACAAAAATATGACCAAGGTTTGGGCTCCAATCTCCGATTTGAGCTCATAACTTGTCGTTTCGAAGGGAACAGCAAGACCAGTTTAAAAACATTTGAAATGCTAAGGGGTAATTTTGGTATTTTGTTTCCAATTAGGCTTCCTAGGAATCTAGGGTTTGAAGTAGTATTAAACCAACTTTAGCTATGTGATTATGGTTGTTATTCATATTAAATCATTATCGATAAACTTTGAGATTTCTCTCAACTTTATGGTGGATTCTAATCTTTCATGTTCTAAGCTCATCGCTTGATTGCCTTACCTTTAATATGTTACACGTGCACCACGTGGCTGGCGTATCATCCAATACATATAGGACATGTGGAATTATTCTCCAACTTACTGCATTACTTTTTATGACTTGTGGCTGACTGCATTGGAAATATTCCACACATCCTACATCTATTGAATGGTACACCAGCCACGTGATCTACCTGGAACACCCAAAAATTGCTCTCGTGTGTTATGTACTTGGTTATACACTCTTTGAATGGGGCAAGTCTAAATAAGAAGAAAAGATATGAAGATAGCAAAATCTGATATCTACAGGCAGTCATGATTATTAGGTTGATGCGAAGCCAAATGGAGTCATGAGGATAATAAATTAAGTGTTCTCTTCTAGCACTTATAAGGGCATGCATATTTGACAATGTTTTTGGAAGGGATAGAAGCACTTTCACATAACCAAAAGCACTTCTGACTCTGTAGGCAACCTAAAAGTGCTTCTAGATTATAAAAGCACTCTTTAGTGCTTTCTGGAGAAGCGCTAAATAGAGTACTTCTAGATTATAAAAGAACTTTTTAGCACTTTCTGGAAAAGCACTACAAAGTGCTAATCATGTTTGGTTTTAATAATAGGGAGAAGTGTTTATACTTTACCAAGCAGGCAGTATCCACACTTTAGTGGGAGTGAAAAATAGATCATCATGATGAGTGAGAGAAGACAGTATATAGGAATTTTTAATATCCAATGATTTATAAGTACAATATATAATACTTTTCCTACACTTGATTGAGGCATTGAATTTCTTAAGATTCTATTGAGAAGTAAGCATTCAAACGGCTAGAACAATAGAGTCTCATTGAACATTAAGCACTCATCTTTGGTGAGAGAATAGAATTCAGGATTCTAAACTTGGAGATTACGAATATTTTGAACAGTGTGAATGATCTCCCCACATGGTTGTTGTCGACCAGGTTGTCAAAATGAGGTCACTTATAAAGTAATAGTGGCTTTATCGATGATGGTGGTTCTTCAATTAATCTTTTGCATCTTTTTTTGGTTTTCTCTTTTATTCATGTGTGATTGTCTCCATCAAATCACAAGATATATGATCGTCTAAACAAAAGATCTTGGGGAAATTTTTATCAACATAGTTATGATTTATTAGTGGGATAATTAGCACTAATGACCATGCCCCGTTGGCCATTGCCATCCTAATCCTCAAACTTTTATTCAAGTTCATTTCTTGATATGACAACTCGTAATTTCCACTGGTAGAAAGTATTTACCCTAAAATCTAAGTCCAAAGTTGAATATAATCTGTTAAGGCTAAAGAAAGACAATTAGGACATCCAACACGGTCATTATATGGACGTCAAAATATGCATGCATGGGCTTGCATGGACACTGTTTTTTTCCCCAGTAATTCAACACAGGAAAAAGGAATCTCTCTCTCTCTCTCTCTCTCTCTCTCTAAATATAAAATGTAAAGAGAAGAATATGATCCAAAATTGATGGTGAGGAAAGGACTC